TTCCCAGCTGAGTCCCCGCAAAACCATATTTGTTTGCAAATGAGTGAACTTCGCTATTTCGAGGATTATTCTGACTGGTGGATTGTGCTGGGATTCAGTTCAGTTCCGCGTTGACATAAACCTTGCGAATGAGTGCGCCATTCGCGAAAAATTTGATGTTCAAAAGAAACCTAAGGACAGTGGTCCGTGTCTGCTACCTAATGAACCCTAAGAAGGGTAAAACCGCTAAGTGGCGGTCGAAGAATTTTCAATAACCTTGTAAGTAGCGTGGAATGCCGCCTCACATATTGTATGGACGTAATACACTACTAACAAAGTTGCTGAAAACTCTTCTAGCTACTCTATGTATATGTCGTCGTAATAAGAGGGAGGTAAATCAGCCGAGCCACAGTTGATCTTATTTGTTGCTTACATAACGTTGGAGCATTGTCTCTGTGAGCTCTCTTTTAGATTGCTTTGAAGATCCCGGCCTTCAGTTTTGCGTGTGTCCGAGTCTCTCGCACCCATAAATACAGTGTTGTTCAACAGCTGCCTTAACCAGACAGCTAAAATAAGCCACAATCTCAAACTGCTCGGTTCGTCCAACCAGCTAGCTTTTCCTGACTGTGCACAAAGGGTCATGAATAAAGTTGGACACATACTGTTCGTTCAGATTCGTGGAGTGGTGAACGAGTTAGGTATCAGTGCGTCAGTCATTATCGTCTTCCGTAGGCGTTACGATACGGCGCATTTGACTGGGACGAGGTTTGGTGGATGTCCAAAAATCAGGTCAGGTGTAGCGCACGCCCATAGGAGACCGGCCACAAGTATGCATGCAGCGGACGCCCATAGGAGACCGGCCACAAGTATGCCACAGGATGCGCGACACCAGACAAATTTGCTCATCCTTCTGATGCGCGCAGTGTGCAGGCGAAAAGCCTGGTCCAGGTGCACGGATGTCGACATGAGGCCGTTCAAAAGACTAACCGATCGATGACGCGAACGGCAGAGACAAGGAAAAACTTTGCGGGTTGTTTTCCCAAACGAGTTTAGGCTGATGCATCATTCATTCGAGAGTCATTCGTGTCACTGGAGAGAACATCCTACTTCACTCTTCACTCGCTTCATATCTAACTGCAGATCGAATACATTCACGTGACTGACTTGTAGGGGTTTCATAATCGTCTACAGACCTGTAGGCTGGTCAATCGAATATTCAAACAATTAGGGAAAGTCTGAAGCGAGACTCACTGTAGAAGATCCATTCAAACATGAATAGGTGCGTATTCCACTCGCTCCATTGTATTCGAACAAAGTGAAGTTGACCAGTATATTCATGGACAGGCAGGAGTTGTAGAACTGAATGCCATCCCATCGATTTCCTGAATAGAAAGAACACTCGTTTTTTGTGTGTGGGAGAATCAGGTGAAAGAGAAAAAAATGAAGTTCAGAAACACACTTAATTGCAAGTTACTTTGGTGTTCACAAGGGCCTCAGCTAAATTCTAGCTGAATCTCTCGTTTATGATGTCTTTCTTCAACTGAATGTGCCTCATCTCTGGCATGGTATTCGAGTTAATGCTGTACAATTTCTGGACGGAACCATTACTTACAGTTGCAAAATGACTCCTAACCGCTACCGGCATAACGGTAGATACTACTGATGAGGAATGCGAGTAGTATGTTTTCTCGTAAATCCGCTTTGCCTCTCTTGAAAAGTGAGATCTATTACGGACTTTGTGGAGTCGCTTTGTAGAATTTGCTTGCATTTGAGTAACGGTCGATGAATATCCAAGGAAGTTCAAGGTGAAGATGGATATTCAGTTTTTGTAGACAAGATGCAGATGAGAGTTTCGCTTCCCTGTTCAGTTGGTGTTTCCTAGTGAACAGCTCCGCAGCGAGGGCTCTCTTCCTCTCATTTGGCGCCTTGACCAGGATAAGGATTCCGGGTGGAAGGTATGCAAGACTGTGAAAACCGTTCCAACCGAAGCCCGAATCGACCTTTATGCAGTACAGTCAGTAGAAGGACGTCGTGCACAAAGGATTCATTTGAGTCTCTCTGGAACACCAACGTAATTTGCAAATAGTGCATTCCCTGAACTGGACTCTTGCCTGATTGCTTTTGTCGACATCCTTATGTCTTCAGCGTTGGATTCACACAACCATTGGTGACTTGCTATTAAAACATTCAATTCTGGCATTTGGTTTTGGACAGATCGGTACCACATGCTCGTTGTGATCACATGAAAAGACCGTGGCTCGGCTGACGTGTTGATACGATTTCCATCAAACTTTCGTTCTCATAATCTGCATACGGTGTACTTTATGCAATGATGCTCAGTTACTATCCCCAAGGTGTATGCGTCCAATGATAGTATGCCTTATGACCGACAATTATTTCACGATAGCCACTCTTCCGGGGCACCTGCGGGCGTCTTTGGATAGAGAGAAACCACAAATTTGGGACAGTTTGCTCTTGGATGAGGTCAAACAAGTTAAAATCTAAAGCAGGCGTAAACAATAATCAGAACAAGCCGGAAAATACTCAAAGTACCACAAGATGAGTAGTCTGGATTTACTACTCATAAATTTGCTGAAGACCCTTCGACAGCCCACGACCGGTTTCGCCCTTCTTGGGGTTCATCAGGCAGGCAGAGTCTCCGAGTTCCAGTCAATCTTATGTTCTACTGGAACCCAGTTACATGCGTTTCAACAAATAGGCTGGTTCTTACTCATTTTCATGGAATAATTACATGAACCCATGTGAATCTCTCTTTTATGATATTCATATTTAACTGAATGTGCTGCGCCAGGCCACCTCAGCTGGTACCATTTTCGAGACATCGCAATACATTGTATAGAAGTAACACACTACTCATAAAATTGCTGAAACATGAGGCAGCCTTGTTCAGCACATTTAGTTGAGGAAGAACACCACAAACTAGAGATTCAGCTGGGATTCGGGTGAGTATCCCGCAAAGATCAAATAAATGTGCAAATGACTGTAGTAGTTGCTAGGTTAGGTTTGGAAACCGATGAAAATCTTACAAGAATATCTTATCGTTCTATGGTTAAAACTTTTTTCCCTAAATGTTCTTTAGACTGCCTTAGATAGACGGATCTAAAGACATCCTGGTGCTGATAGGTCAGACGTCACGTCCGCTCAATCAAACGCCGACCAACCAGGGAGCTAGCCAATCATCCAATAAACGGGAGCGACCTACCAAACGACCAATCATGGCCAGAGGTCATTGCAGCCTCGTCAACAAGACATGTGCAAGCACACGCACAAGCACGGCACCGCGCAACATCTACAAACCAACGCACTATAGAGCACCACTAATGCACTACGTACGCATGGTGCCACTCAGGTTGGTGACTGCGAACAAATTAATACCCACCAAGCCCCCCAAACTTCGGGATAACCAAGCCGATGCCCCAAAGGTCGATTACTATCCGACCCGTGCAACACGAAGATGGCCGGATTACTCACCTGTGAACTTTGTTGTGTGCACATGAGTTTCAATCGCACTGTTTGGTTCACGTTCTTGGCAGGAGCTGCGGGGATTCCATACAGAAAGACCATGTCCCACATTGCGGGCGAACAATGATTGGTTGATTTGACGGAATCCACCGGCCGTGCTTACATTCATTCCGGTCCGTTCGTTCGATTCGAACCTGCGATGATGATATTGTAATTGGAGTGCATGTGATCAGAAGTTGTGCAGTGGATAAAGTTGGTAAATCACAAAAAGCTATTCTCCCTGAAAATAAGGTTGAGCATTACTGATGAATATCATGAGACAGGTCGCCGAGTTAGCAAGAGTCCCTGCAGGATGAATGGGTACGTTATTCTTTTTAGGAATGCGAAATGTGGCAGCCCACGTGTGGATATTAAAATAGACGGCATCTGTCGTCGGAAACGACTAGTAAAGAATGTAGAACTCGAGGCTCGTCACGTGAAACAAACATAGATGAAACTTGAGACTCTGGAAGGTGACCTCGTTACCTCACTTTCTCAAGCAACTGCATCTGAAAAGCATTTTCAAAGAAACTATTTTTGGTGGCCCAGGCTCTTCCATACTCATACTATTTTCCAGTTGACGTGACAATGAACTTAGTTGGTTTGTCGTTTAAGTCGACACCGTTTGAATTCTGTCAATGTGTTGGCGTCTTCTGTAAGAAATAACATCCTGACAGATCAGGGCAGGCTTCAAACTCCAAAGATGACACAGTTGGGCGGGACTGGGCGGACAAGTCAAGGTGGAAAAAAGAGAGAAATAACGTCGAGGGGACACACTAGACGAAATCGAAAAACCGAGATTTCGTTTTTCAAGTGCTGAGAGCATTTGTACGTTATCGGAGTGTACAAGGTCATGAGACGTTTGGATCTGATATCTTGATGTCGTAGCGTTGGCGAGGACTTACAATAGTCTGTCTCTGGGACGAGTGCTAATCAGTATCCAGTTGAAATATAGACTATACTTTTGTCTGCCAGTCGAACTGATTGCTTAAATTCTGTACATCTTTATCTCTTACTAACTGTGTGAGGTTGGCTGGTGTTTGATCCGGAATACGAATAAAGCCACATCTAGAAGTACAAAACAGTTTGACTGATCCAAAATGGTATTTCTTGTGATGAAGGGTGACTAAATTCGCCGCCCAGACCCTCTGAAATCTCGCTCGTGAAATTAAAAGGAAGAAGGCCCACAGACTACTAGTTTATCCAGAGATCTGTTAGAACCGATAAAAAAAAACAAGTTATGAGTCGTTAATTGCTCGAGATTACTTTTTAACCAATAGGAAACATTCAATAAATACAATCAATAACTCACGTGCAATTGTTTACCAAGACATCCGCGGACCCATTGACAATTCTCAAACCGGCATCGTATTGATTCAAGGTGAAATGACTATTCACCACCCGTACAAAGGACCAAGGGTCTCGCACATCCAACCCTCTGTGCGTGTTCCCATTAAAGTGAGAATCTTCAACGAGCACTTCAGGAACTTTGGCTGTTTGTGGGAACAAAGATAGATCAGAAATAGGGAACCGTAAAGCCCAAGATGATCAAGATGTGCTTTCTCCCGAAATCAATGTTTATTTCTATGACTTGTTTGCCAACAGCGGCACATGGGAATCGGCGTCACGGAGTGTGCAAGGTGATTTTGGTTACGCTTACCTTATGTGCGAGCTTACTCTCATCTCGTGGTGATTTTCAGCACGGAAATGATCGATAGTAATTCGAGAGAATCATCACCATCGTCATTATCAGCTGTAGGAACCGCGTTCTTGTCGCACTATGGTTGTAGCTGCCGCAATTTCGTCCACCGGTGATTCGAGGAGGTGGGGTAGGTAGCTGCACATTGGAGGCGGGTGCTGATAAATTC